ACGCCCCCCCCCCCCCACTTTTTGGCGAAAAATATATAATGTCTGGAGAGTTTTGTATGATCGGAAATACAAAAAAAGAAGAAGGGAGGAAAGAGGAGAAAGATGGAAAAGAGAATGTTTATCCAGTACCCAACCGAGTTACATTTTCTCGCAATTCACAATACCCTGGCCTGCAACCCCTTCTCCACTTCAAAAAGTGTCCATAGCGCATTTGATCTAAGCCGTCAGATATTCTCCGCAGTGGCGTAAGCACCGGGGGACAAGGGGAAAATATCCATTTGTGGAAAATCTTTCCCCATTGAATGCCCTTTTCACCCGGGAAAGTGCCTGAAAACCTCAAATTTTAAATCGCATATTTTGTTGAGGTAGGCCAATTTTGATTAATTTTTGATAAATTTTGATCAATTCCGACGAAATTAGAATTTAAAAAACAAACATTTTTCGCGCGCTTCGCGCGCATTTTTTAATGTTAAAGCTTGTGCTTGCTCTCTTTAGCCTTCGAAGTTATAACACATATTCCCAAACTCAAGAAAGAAAATTTAAGATAGATCGTTTTACCTAAAAGAAGGGCCTCAATGTGTAATGATGTTGAAAGAATATGTTTGTAATAAATAAAGCCATATGGAAAATGCTTATATTCAGTTAAAAAAATATATAACATAAGAGCATTTCTTGTTGAGGTAGGCCAATTTCCTCTAAAAATTGCACATTAGGGAGTTTTGATCAATTCCGACGAAATTGGAATTAAAAACACAAAAATTTTTCGCATTTGTTACGGTTAAACCTTGTGCTTGCCCTCCTTTACCTTCTAAGTTATTTAAAAACCTAATAGTCCCAACCTTGAGAAAGAAAATTTAAGATAGATCGTTTTACCTAAAAGAAGGGCCTCAATGTGTAATGATGGTGAAAGAATAGGCCTATGATTGTAATGAATAAAACAACGATGAAAATGCTTATATTTAGTTTCAAACACACGTGTGTGGCCTATATTAATAATAAAATAAGCCCTATGTCGTTATTTTCCCCCCAAAAAATGTCAGTCAATGTCAGTATGTTGGTGTCAGCCTATGACCCAGATGTGTATAAGAGACAGCTGTTGCGCCCCTTCTTATATAAGTGGGCCCCCCCCCCCCACTTTCAAAAACGTTCCGCCGGCCCTGCTCTTTACCGTTAGCGCTTCTTCAAAAACATTGACTATTTTTACTACAAAAACCGTAACTCAAAATCTAGAGGTCGGATAAATTAGGTTGAAACGGTTTATAGAAGGCTGAATATAGCTATTACAAACAATTCACAAAAATATTTTTTTTTTGAAATTATTTCGAACCGTCATTTTTTAATTGAATTACGAAAATACGAGCCATATTAGTGTGTTTTAGCGTGATTTGAGCTGGCTTATGATGAGTAGTTTCTCTACAACGTTATAAATTTGCCTACACCCAGCTTAGGTTTAAGCGGAAAATAAATATGCTTGATAGTAGACTTATATTTTTACGGTGTTATGCATAGATTTGGAATGTATTTTTAATAGTGTTCACTAATGATTGATCGTTTAAAAAGTGCATTTTCATACACCCTTTTCGGATAATGAAATCGTCTAAACACTGCGTTGTGCAGGGCTCCCTATCTGCTCATTTTTGCCTTTCTATAGCTCCCGCGGCAGTAAAAGATGTTTTGTTACGTGGACAAAACAGTCAAATTGATATGATTTTCCGACAAAGGGTCCGACATGTCCGACAGCGGGGTCGGAACCAAGAGGCTGACAAAAGCCTTGATCAGGGACCCGGAATAAAACGTCCTGATAGGGTTCGTGGGCAGAGTTTTTATGGCTTAGTGTGGCCGGCCCAAAATTGTGCTTTTTAGACCACAATGTTAGAGGCTGGCAATAAAAATAACGTTTTTTAAAGGCCAATTAATATTTTTGCGCGACGTGATGGGATGCCCTCCCTGCTCTCCCATTTTGTTTTTCTAATACACGAAGAGTTATATCACACCAGTTATTAACTACGGAGCTCCAATCCGAAATTTTATAAGGTTGGCTTAGAATTTGTTGGTAGGGCCTACACTTGTAATGATTATAGTAGATATGCATGTCAACGTATTTATTTGATAAACGTTTTGAAGATATTTTATATGTTTATATTTCAATGATATAATAGCATTTATATCACTTTGTACAAATCAGGTGAAAATCTATATAACTGGAGCGAAGGCCTACTTGGTCGAAATTTCATCGCCATACAAACTGAATGATTTTTTGAACTTTTTATTTAGGTCCTATTTATTTATGTTATGATTCTTCGAAAATTCTTTATTTATTTCCATTATTTTGTATTTCCTCAGATCGTTTTGGTGTTGTTTGTTTTGTGTTGGTACTATATTCTCTTCCGTAACAAAACAGTCCACTATTGCTGTTCCTGCTGTGTCTATGAAATGGTCGAAATTGAAGACGATGAAAAAAAATGTTCAGCTTAAACAGACTCAGTATAAATAAATAATTCATGATTATGTAAATAGACCTGTCATATTTTAAACGAGTATATCAGTCGTTAGATTTCTATTAGTTTGTATATGAAATATGTTTATTTAAGTACATGTAATATAATATTCACAAAGCATGTCAATTAAAATTACTAATGCGCGGGCATAAACTATACTTAGCGCCTTCTATAGTCGCTGAACTTTCAGTAAGTTTTAGATCCTTGCCATTTTGTTTAGGGTTCAGCTCGAAAAAAATAAGATTTGGTGTAAAACTAAAAGGAATAATAAAAACAATTAATAATATGAGATATATTTTATCATCATCGTCATCCCGTTTGTCCCCTCTTCGCGGGGAGGGGGGGGGGGTCGGGTCGTCTCATTATCGTCCTCCATCTGGAGCGATCCATTACTGCTTCTAGGTCCACTAATCTTTCATCTTGTCTCTGATGCAGTCCATCCATCTCTTTCTGGGTCTCCCTCTTGGTCTCCTCCAATTCTCCACTCTTTCTGCTGCCCATCATATCATATCAACCTCTTCCCGTCTCATATATGTCCGTACCATCTCAGTACGCACGCTTGGATTTTATCTCCCAAACGTGTCACGTTTGTCTCCTTCCAAATCTCCTCATTCTTCATTCGGTCTTTCGGTGTTCCATGGCTCAGCCCCATACAGTCCCCCTAGTCTGATCATTGTTTTGTATAATTGGCTCTTTAGCTTTGTTGGCATTCTCTTATCGTAGGTGACTCCACTTGCATTCCTCAGGGCATTCCCGGTTCCTTGTATTCTTGTCCTCACTTCCCGCTCAAGTTCTCTATTTTCATGGAGCCAGCAGCCCAAGCACTTGAAAGCTGTCACCTGCTCCAGCTGTTGCCATCTACATAATCTTGTTACCTGTGGCACCAGTTGCTGACGTATTACCACCATTACCATTGCGTTTGGTTTTACTCATCTTTATTCCATGAGATGCAAACTGCTCATACCATGTATTCATTCCAAGTTGCAGATCTGCCTCTATATTTTACATAATAATTGAATGACCTGTTTCTCTTACTCTTGGTTCAAAACCAGAAAAAGTGGTGTTTGAGCATATTACCATAACATTATATTTGTAATCGTGGACACAGACTTATGGGGTTGTTTTTGTTAACTCTTTGTGGTGTGGTTATAGAATATCAGTACAATGTTCAAATCAATCGAATCGAATTTTGTTTCATTTTCTAGTTTATGAGGGTAACTCCCCTTTTATTCTCCGTTTTGTATAGTTACTTTATTTATTTAAATGGCTTTTTTTCTCTGGTAATAATAATAATAATAATAATAATAATAATAATAATAATAATGTGACATTACAATTATCTAACCGGTATTATTATTATTATTAATAATAATAATAATAATAATAATAATAATAATAATAATAATAAAAATAATAATAATAATAATAATAATAATAATAATAACAATAATAATAATAATAATAATAATAATAATAATAATAATAATAATAATAATAATAATAATAATAATAATAATAATAATAATAAATTCATGTGCGTAGCCTCTCATGAAAGTTTTAATGTTATGCGTATATATCTCAACAATTTCACGTTTGGTGAACGCTAGATCACAATCTGATGCCAAAAGGTAGTGTGAAATCAAACAAGTCTATGTATCTCCGTCAGAATAAAATAGAGTATACTAGTACATTTTTTGTATCTAAGATAAGCGTTTGACCAAAAGGTTCCTGCATCTTGTAATGAAGGCCGTGGTTTCAATCCAGCCGTCGGATTTGGAGTCTACGCTTGGCTCCTCAAAGAATTAGGCCAGAGAGTGGGCATTGGTATTGTCGCCGTATTAAGGCCGCCTTAATACGACAGCCAGGGGCTGAGCTGTAATTTTCAATAAAATATAATAAAAACAAATGATGATTTATTTAATAAGTACTTCTCCTTTCGGAGATTCTGTCTTGTATATGCGCATTCTGAAGTGCAGGGGTGGCGCGAGTGACGCGCACATGGGTCATAATGTACTCGGGACCAACGGCTTAAATGACTCATCAAGAAAACAGCTTTTTGGTGATATGCCTACTTGTATTTCAGCCCAGGCCTTCTAAAACACAAGGAGATTAACATGGGAATTGAACCGGGGACAAAAGATTGGTATGGTTCGGCGTGCACACAGTGGTGGCAACTATGTTGCTCTCTAGGCCAGAATGGGGAGAGACGTATGTGGAGCGTTTGAGCTCCCCTATTTCTACTCCTGTCAGTGTATTATGTTACACACATTTTATAACAGGAGTTATATTACCTCCAATCAAATTTTGACTCCCAAAGAAATAAAAATTACAATAGGCCTAAGTGGTGGATCTTTTTGTCAACCGGACATAAACTTCGTTTGAGGTCTATCAAGTATGCGACAACAGTAACAGTCAAATAACAGCAATAAGCAATCAATTGTTTCATTTTTAACCAAGCAAGCAAGTAATAAGATTCTGAAGTTAGTTTTGTCGGCAAAATTTAGTTCTGCGACTTGACACACGTCCCTATGTTTGAAACAGCCGACCGACTAATGGATGTCAGGTAATTCCCCATCCCCTGAAATCTTACTGTTAGGCTTATAATACGCGTAAATTAAAAGGGTCGGAGAAAGAGGTAGTTTAGTTGTCTATCAAGTATGCGACAACAGTAACAGTCAAATAACAGCAATAAGCAATCAATTGTTTCATTTTTAACCAAGCAAGCAAGTAATAAGTTTCTGAAGTTAAAGATTTATTGGCAAAATTTAGTTTTTGCGAATTGACACACGTCCCTATGTTTGAAACAGCCGAACGACATGGATGTCAGGTACTTCCCCATCCCCTGAAATCCTACTGTTACTGATATATAATACTTAAAATGTTACTGATATATAATACTCAAACATAAAATGTCAAATCGCAAAAAAAAAAATCAATAATAAGAGCATTCAGCTAGTATAGATCTTTGCCCACAGCAAATCCCTTTCTATAAAATAAATCTCCCAAAATATTCTCGAGACCCACCATCCGCTTAAAAACCCTTTTTATTATAATTGTAAGGCCTTAATGTGATGTTAAGTTGAAGGTAGGTGGCCAATTCCTTACTTGTTCTTGATGATGATAGATGATGATGACGATGATGATGATGATGATGATGATGATGATGATGATGATGATGATGATGATGATGATGGATGATGATGATGATGATGCAAGAAAAGACTTGTACCTCGATTCTTCCACTTGTGAATCCATTTTTGTTGAAATTACTCGTTCTAATTGTAAAAATATTTTTATTGGAAGTACCGTATATACAGAGCACTCTCCCTTGATCATTTAGTATTTACTGATAAATTAGACACTTTATTGTCGGAATTATCCAGTGAAAATAAAATCGTTTACATTCTGGGTGACCTGAATATTGATATTCTTAAACATGAATCAAGTAAAAATGCAGTTCCTTTGCCAATACTTTAATTATTTAGCAATTAATTTCTTCCCCTAATTCACAAACCAACTCGAATCATCAAATCCTCAGCCACTCTGCTTGACAACATTATTACTAATAAGTTTGATTGATCTAACATGAGTGAATTATTTTATAGTGATATCAATGATCACCTTCCAATTTTGAATATTTCGTATTTCTCCATAATGCTCCTAGCGCAAATAAGGAAGGATCCATTAGATTTAGAAATATTAACCCCGGGACAATTTATCAATTTCGAGAAAAACCTGGCACCCAGGACTGGTCGCAAATGCTCGATTTTCAACAGCCCAAAGAAGCACACAACAAATTTGAAAATTTCTTTGCGTTACTGTAAAACAAGCATTTTCCCATTTAAATTCAAACAAAAAGACTACAAAAAAAACTCAAATTTCGGATGCCCGATTGTCTCCTCAGACCAATTAGATTCAAGCAAAAATTATATGCAAAATTCCTTCACTTTCCTTCAACTAAAAACGAATCTGAGTCCAAAAAATCCGTAATCAAATTTCCAAATTAAAGACGCGAAATCCAAATATAAAATACTTTTCTCAAACATAAAAATGACAACAGGGCCACTTGGAGAACTATTAATTCTCTAATAAATAAATCCTCAGAACATAAATTCGTCGTAATTTAATTTATTTATGTAACGAATATTTGTTATAATTTTTGGTCTAATAAAAAAAACAAACATTCTGAGTTCTGAGTTTTAAATCCAATATTTCCATGAATTGCAACGATGAACTGACTGCAATAATTGAGCTTTATTGATCTTTCAAAGGCTTTCAAAACGATTGATCACCATATACCTTTATTTAAGTTGTCTCATTATGGTATCCGGGGTCCTGCATTAACTCCTTTTAAAAGTTATTTGACTAGCCGTTATCAATGCACTAAGTATGCCAATTATACCTCTAATTTTTCTCCAGTTACATATGGCATCCCCCAAGGTTCATTATTAGGCCCTCTTTTATTTATTTTGTACATTAATGATGTTTATAGATCTTCAAATTCCCTCTCTTTCTTTATGCTGATGACACAACTGAGACAGTGTTTACCTTGACAGATAACGTCAAAAAAAGCAATTGTTTATATAGAAAACAATAAAATAAGAGAAGTTTACACTAGGACGATTCGATAACGGTTTATCGTGTATACGATAACAAAATATTTTAACAAATCAAATCAGATGACATCATAATCATGGAAAAACGATAAAATCGTTGCTACTACTACGATTTTAATGTTTTCCCATGATTATGACGTCATCTGATTTGATTTGTCAAAATATGTTATCGCATAACCGATAAATCGTTATCGAATCGTTCTAGTGTAAAAACTCTCATTTCTTTTATTTTCTATATGAAAAATTGCTTTTTAGCTTTTTTAATCGTTATCGTTATCGTTAAAGTATAAACAGAGGCCTTAATACTATTGCATACACTATACACTTAAGCCCGGTTTCTTTAAAATCGTTACACCGTCGCTACAGTGTTTGCGGTGCAATTGTTGTACTGTGTAGCAGTCTCCGACGCAAGCGGATAGACTGCCCGATTCGGCTTAGAACTTCCAACGTAAACCTCAATGAACCAGTTGTTTAAGGCGTCTGCATAGACAGCAAAAGGTCCCGGGTTCGATTCCAGGTTGGGGCAATTTTGATTATAATAATAAGAACAACAACAATGTGTGTGTGTATGTATGTGTGTGTATGTGTGTGTATATGTATATGTATATGTATATATATAGTTATATATATATATATGTATATATATGTGTATGTATGTGTGTGTGTGTATGTGTGTGTGTGTGTATATATATATATATACGTGTGTGTATATGTGTGTATACATATATATATATATATATATATATATATATGTATGTGTATATGTATGTGTATATATAATCTAGATGTGTATAAGAGACAGGTGTATGTATGTGTGTGTGTGTATGTGTGCATATGTATACGTGTGTATATATGTATACGTATGTTTCTTTCTCAATATTTTATACTCTGCCTGTCAGTAATTTTGATTTTGGTGACACACTACTCCCACAGGAATAAAGAGACTGATCAAAATTATACTGTATCAAATACTTTATGGTGCAGTGTGTCTTCAAAATTAAAATTCTTGTCAAACCAGACTGCCTGTGATTATTTAAAAATATTTAATCATCTGTACGTCATTAAGTTCAATTTTATTTATTCAATTTTAACTGGTGGCCATAACTTAAAGTTTGTATAAACTTATTTTGGCCTCCATCCACATACTTATTTATTTATTTAATATCTAATTTACAGTATATATGTATGTATGTGTGTGTGTATATATATGTGTATATTATACTGTATATGCATATGTATATACATATATATATATATATATTTTTTTTTTCTTATCTACTTTTGTAATGTTAGTTAAGTTTGAATACATTGTACTATTTATGTTGTGTGTGGAGAAACCAATAAAAACAAACAAACAAACAACAACAACAACAAAAAAGTGTATTTAACCAAAAATGAAGTAAAACATAAAACTGGCTCAACAAAAAGGCAAAATCTTCAAGGAGGTCACCATTTGACTCCTCTCAGCGTAATCCCAGAAAAGGATACACGTTTGCCCTGCCACAGACGACCGGGCGACCAAGATGGTGCCACCAAAAGAAGATGCAAGCCACTTTATGTT